AGGACCCCCTCTCCCTCGATGGGAGAGGGTTGGGTTGAGGGTGGAACGCCCCGCCATCGCGAGGAGGGCAGCCACGCCTCCCCCGAGCCGCACACGGTTCTGGCGTATCGTTCAGGTCAGCGGAAGTGGCGGCTGCCACAGTTTTCCAGTGTCATTGACCGTAATGGAGTCCACCCACTTGACCCAATCGTAGCCCCGTTTGTGGGGCTCCACCATCCGCGCCGGAAAACCGTGGCCCGGTGAGAGCGGTGCGCCACCCACTCGGCCGGCCAGAATACTGCGGCGTGCTTCATCCAGCGAATAGCGGCGAAAATATCCGGTGCGAGAGCGTATGGTAATGCTGCCTGCGCCGGGTTTCAGCCGGGCGCGATCCAGCAACTCCGTAACCGGCACCCCCTGCCAATCGCGGGTGGTATACCAGCCTCCCGTGCAGTCCAGCGTTGCCGTAAGGCTGCGCTGCCGCAGGCCCTGAAACTCGTCGATGTCCAGCTCGTACGGATTTTCCACGTGGCCGTCAACGCGCAGGCGCCATTGGTCGCGGTCAACGTATGGGACCCGGTCGTTCAGCCACATGGTAACCGGAAAGTCAGCGCCGTCTTCAGGATACGAACCGGTGTAACGCCGGGATGCTCCCGGGCCGGCCGTCAGAATGTTGGTCACCTCGGATGTCCGCCACAGCATGAACCCGGCCAGCGCCAGCCCGACGATCCTCAGCGCGTTGCGCCGGTCGGCAATATACCGGCTGCGAAGACTGATGCGATGCTGCAGCGCATGCCAGACCAGCAACGGCAGCAGCAGCAGCGCCAGGTTCATGTGGATGGTCGTTCCTGAGAATCCCAACCACTGGAAATGACCGAAATGGCTCCAGGCCAAACCCAGACTCAACACGGCAAGCAGTCCCGCCAGCAACGCAGCTGAGCCCAGCATCATGGAACGCGAACTCTGCCAGTTGCGCCGGGTCCTGATGGAACCGAGAATGTTGCGCGACTTCCAGATGAACAGGGCCAGGATCGCAAAACCAAAAATCCGGTGCAGATGCATGGCGGCAATCCACTCCGGATTGGAATGCGTCAGCCCCAGGTATCCGGTAACCAGCTCGGCGGCCACCAGGACGATGAGCAGTATGTTAGCCCAGGGGTAACGCATCAGGAACGGGGACGCCGCAATCCAGGGCAGGTCATGCGGAGGGGCGACGCTTCAAGACTACGGCCAGGCCAACCAATACAACCAGGGCCAACGCTACGATCAGGCTAGGCAACAGGGTCGTCCGTTGCGAGGCCGTCCCGTTTTCCGCGGCGGGCGCAGACGACGTATCCGTCGGCGTATCCGTAGTCGATGTCGTAGTATCGTTTCCTGCATCACCGGGGCCTCCGGGCGAAACGGTTCGGGCGGATCCGTCGCCTGCGCCCTGACTGACAGCCTCCCCGGATGTGGGCTGGGCAGATACCTCATGCTCACAGTCGTACACGCCGGTCAGTTCGGAAAGGTCGTGAATGTTGGAAACGTCCGCGAGTTCCTGGTCGTAATCGAACACCGGGTCCACGGTCATCTCCTCCGGGGAAATTACCGTGTTCAGGCGGGTTACATAAGGATGGCGACTGCGCAACTCTCGCAGCAGGGGATGGGTTACCGCCAATTGGCTGCTGGGAGCGGCATATTCGGTGATGAAAGCCTGGCCGCCATTCCTATCGGCTTTTGCGCTCATCAATTGGCGGTAGTTGCTTCCTCCGAAGGTGGGAAATCTCAACTCCTGGTCCGCGATTTCCATTTTGGTGTAGTTCACCGGAACGGCCTGATTGTCGGCGTAAAACCACACCATAACAGCCATATCCGGGTTGGCCGCTACCGCGGTGAGACGGAGTGGGATCATGGGCCGTTCCGCCGGGTAGGTCACCTTGACCGGGTCCACGTCCTGGTCGTTGGATTCGGGCAGAAGCCGCATGGCAAGGAAGGCGAACCCCTCCTCTACATACACTTGAATCAGCGGTTCCATCTCGGGGGTAACCCGGTACTCGTTTTCCCGGAGCCAGGCAATCAGCGCCTCCGGGTCCTCTGAGCCGATGACATCCGACCAGTACGGCCCCACTGCGCCACTGGCAAAAACCTCCACCTCTGCGCTGGCAGCCATCGGGACTTGGGTCCCGATGAGCGACAGTAAAGCGCATTCGGGTAGTGGAGGCGGAATGAATACCGGATCGGTGGCGACCTCCAGTTCGGTGAAGGCGGCCATGCCATCTTCGGGCACTGCTATATCATCCAGGGTTATGGCCTGGGGCAGCGGTAGAATCCAGGAAAAGTCGGGCGCCGAGCCGGTGTACTGAATCTGGATATAGGCGGAGACGGTGCCATCCCCGTTTTGAGTGAATATTATCCGTTCCGCGTTCTGGTCGATGGGCGAGTTCTGACAGAAGAATCCCCCGCAGGCCCACGCCGGTTGAGCCATGCCGACCAACGGGATCGCAACGCCCACTGCCAGGACCAACGCCGCCGTAAGCCATTTCCATGTTCCCATGCTCATACCTCCTGTCTATCTCTATCTATCTATCTATCTATCCGATTTATCTACCCGACACCGGTCATTGCGAGCGTAGCGTGGCAATCTCGTCGCCGTAGCAATGCCGGTCGCTGCTGCGGCCCAAAATCCTATCCATCCCGCCCACCTCCGTTCGTCCTGAGCCTGTCGAAGGACCCCCTCGCCCTTGATGGGAGAGGGTTGGAGCCTGCCCCGTAGTTGATACGGGGGTGAGGGTGACCCCCCGCTCATCCTGAGCCTGTCCAAGGACCCCCGGTCATTGCAAGGAGCGCAGCGACGTGGCTTTCCCGTTCCCCCCGCTCGTGCTGAGCCTGTCGAAGCATCATCCTGAGCCTGCCTGAATACCGTCAACACCCATCCTACGCCGGAGCCAGGGGATCGGATGTTCGCCCGTGTTACACTCGGCGGCGAGCGGCGGAGGGTTGGCGAGTCCGGTCCGGCGGTCGCATCAGAGTATAGACGGGAGTTTGCAATGCAGCCGCTCAACGATTTGCGTGTACTGGCCGTTACGGTGTTTTTGGCCGGCCCCTTTTTGAGCATGACACTGGCCCGGTTTGGCGCCGAGGTTATCAAGGTCGAGATACCGGGCCGCGGCGATCCGGTGCGAGGCAATGGCCCCTTCGCCGGACCCGACGGTATCCACAGCGAACAGCTCTCCGAGCAGTACATCGCCACCCGGTTCCTCAAGCGCAGCCAGGGCGTCAAGAGCATCACCCTCGACCTGAAAAATCCCCAGGGACGGGAGCTGTTTCTTCAGATGGCACGGCAGTCGGATGTGGTGCTGGAAAATCTGGCGCCCGGCTCCATGACCCGCCTCGGATTGGGTTACGACGACGTTGCGGCAATTAATCCCGGCATCATCTACGCCAGCATCTCGGGCTACGGACAAACCGGTCCCTACGCTAATCAGCCGGCCCACGATCCTCAAATCCAGGGCATGAGCGGCCTCATGGACATCAACGGCGAACCCGACGGCCCGCCAACCCGCGTCGGTTTCTACATCGGCGACCTGGTTACTCCATAGATTTGCCGACCACCAGCATCCTGGCCGCCCTCCGCGAGAAGGAACGCACCGGCAGGGGTTGTTACCTGGACGTCTCCATGATGGACACCTGGCGTCCATGATGCTGATGGAGAATCTGGAGGAAGACATGGCGGCCGGTATACCCCTGCGCACCGGCAACAACAGCCGCCGAGCGGCCCCACCGGCCAGTACCACGCCAGCGACGGAGCAGTCATCATCACCGCCGCCAGCGATGACCAGTGGCGCCGATTGATGCAACGCCATCGGCACGCCCGAGTTGATCGAAGACGAACGGTTTGCCCGCTATCAGGTTCGGTCGGAGAACGCCGCGCCGGCACGGGCCGAAGTGCAGGCTCGCATCGGCGCCATGACCCGAGACGAGGCGCTGGCATGTCTGTCTGCCGGCGATGTGCCCTGCGCTCCGGTGCGCACCGTCCCTGAAATTCTGGCCGACCCGCACTTCCGCGACCGGGGGGCGCTGCGACCCATGCGCAACGCCGCGTTCGACGGCGAGGTGGACGAGGTCGTTGCCGGATTTCCGGTGCTGTTCGATGGAAAACCGCTGCCCGATGTTCCGCGCGTCGCTCGGATGCACAACGCCGAAGTCCTGGCCCAGCTGTGCGGCATCGACGGACGACGGCCTCACCCGTTGCACTCCGAAGGAGTCTCTAGGCCCACCCGCCCCCACCATCCCGTCCCTGCACCGGCCCAATCCTGTCCATCCGTCCATCCATGTCGCATTCGGCTCCCTCTCCCGCCGAGACTTTTGCATAAATGGAGCTATGGTTAAAAATCGAGGTTAGAGACAGGTGGGAGGAGCGGACATGCATCGGATAAACGATCGGGCGTCGTTGGGGAGTGTTATTGCGGCAGGGTTGGGACGCAATGATCGATTGGAAGGATCAGTAATCTGCTGGACTGGAGTGGTTGGAGGGGATGCTCTCTGGGTGTATGCGGCACCGAAGGACGGCCCAGCTATCCGCCGTTGCTGATGGTGAAGGTGCTGTTGTTGGAGCAATGGTCCAACTGTCGGAAATCCGAGATGAGGCACGCCCTGGGGACCGGTATCATTCCGTCGGTTCGTGGGGTTGGTGGCTGGAGGATGCCACGAACGTCCGGATCATGTCACCATCAGCCGGTTCGCAGGAGTTGACAGCGGTGCTGGGGAGGCGTCTGTTTGGGGAGGCGGGCGCCAGTTGTGGAGGTGCGGGCATGGTGTTGACGGAAGGGACTCGGCTGGACGCCACCCTGGAGAAGCTCAGTGCGCAGCCCCCCGCTGGGCGGGTTGGGGAGTCCGCAGCGATCAGGACCCGGACGCGGACTGGACCGCAAGTACGGGCAGCGCTCCTATTTGTTGGTTACAACAAGGTGCACCTGATGAAGGCTCGCTAATTCGCCAGGCCGTACTGACCCCGGCCAAGGTGTGCGGACAGCGAGATCGCCGACAGCTGGTGGCAGGAGATGAGCGGCGGTGTACGCGCGAGGTGTCCGATCGATGTCTACGAATCGACCGCGCGCGCCGGTGCGTTGCAGCCCCAGGGCATTCAAGGACGAACATGCGCCGCCCCACAAGCATCAGGCAGCGTTACCCTAATGCAACCAGCGGCGCAATCGGTTGATCGCACTGCGACGGCGGCGGTGGAAATGGAAAGGGTGTGTCGGCACCCTGAAACCGGACTAACTTACCACTACCAAGCGTCCGCTACCTGGGACTCAGCAGACACACCACCGAGTTGTGGTTCACGTGGTCGGCCTACAACCTGCGGCGCGCCTGCAGACTGGCGGGCACACTCATAACCAGACCCAAGGCAAATAGACCAGACCACGCCACGTCCCCCTCCCAAATCCAGCCGGCAGGCGCTCCACTTCCGCATACAGCAACCGAAAACCATCACCACCCACAAAACTCACCCCCTTATCGACACCCCTCCCTAAAATCGCTTTAACGGCACAGGCCTCCCGTGGAGAGTGTGGGAGCCTGCCCCGTCCTTGATACGGGGGTGAGGGTGAACCCCCCCGCATCCTGAGCCCAACTTCCCCCGTTCATCCTGAGCTTGTCGAAGGACCCCTTCTCCCGCCGGGAGAGGAGCCGGGGGTGAGGGCCGTACCCTCTCATCCCGAGCCTGGTGAGGGTTGTATACTCACTATAACGACTGCACGACCCACAACCCACAGGAAGGAGGCGCTCGACATGTCCGCTGCTGCTGACGCCCTGATCTCCGCTCTGGAAAATAACTTCGCCACCATCGACCTGGCGCTCAAAGACCTGACCGATGATGAGTTCCATCGCATCCCGGCTGACGACTGCAACTCCGTCGCCTGGATTCTCTGGCACCTGTCCCGCGTCATCGATTCCTTTATCCATACCGCGCCTGGTCGGACTTCCGCCAGACTTGGGATGCGCAGACAGAAGCATTGGGAAGCGGCAGATTCATCAGCTGCCGGACAGACGCGAAAATCGTGTGGCCGGGCTGGACGCATCAAATGGTTCGCGACTGGCAGCCGCCGGCCCGTTCCGTCCAGATGGACTACTTCGACCATGTGCGCACCGCCCTCCGCGAATACCTGCCATCGCTGACCGAAGCCCAAATGCAGCAGGCAAAAGTCATCCCGCCGGTTTCAGAGCCCCGCACCGTCGCCGCCGCTCTCGGCCAGATGACGTGGGATTGCATCTCGCATGGCGGCCAGATTGCCTTCCTGCGCGGCATGTACAAGGGTATGGGCTGGCACCGCTAACCCCCGGTCATCGACCGTCTCCTCGTGCCTGCGAGAATGATGACGTGAGCGCGTGACCCCCGGCTCACGTCGTCATCATCCCCGCCGTGGCCGGTTGCGATCCTCACTATCCAGCATCAGCGTAACCGGCCCATCGTTCTGCAACCGCACCTGCATGTACGCCTGGAACTCCCCGGTCGCCACCGTCAACCCCGTCTCACGGAACATTTCCACCGCTCGCCCGTAGAGTCTCCGGGCGTCATCGGGTTCAGCGGCCCGCGTGAAATCGGGCCTCCTGCCGCGCCGTGTGTCCGCGTACAGCGTAAATTGCGACACCACCAGCAACTCGGCGGCCACGTCCAGCGTGACCGGTTGAACCGTCTTCATCGTCGGCAAAGATGCGAAGATTCGCCGTCTTGTCCACCAGATACCGTGCGTCTGCCTCGTCGTCGCTGGCGGCCACGCCCAGCAGGACCACCAATCCCGCTCCGATGCTGCCGACCGTATCTCCGTCGATGCGTACCGACGCGCAAGTAACCCTCTGAATCAACGCTCGCATACCGAGAACCTGCCCTGCTGTCTGGCTGTGTCCCAACTGGCTCCAATTGCTATTGGACCGAGACCGCAAAGAAAAAGCCGCACCCAAACGGGGCGGCCTTTATCGGAAGAGTGTGATCGAGGCCGGAACCCGCTACGCCGAATTCCAGCGGCTTGTGCCGCCGGGGCTGCCGATTTTCCGATTCCTGAGATGTTTT